AAAAAAAAAAAAGCAAAATGGTGTTAACCAGCTAAATATGAAACACAGTATTTGTTCTGGAAACACACACTATTAATGAAAGGATAAAGAATCTCCACATTTCATCACTCACTGGTGGCCACTGTTCAGAAACTGAATTAAAGGTTAGACTGTCAGTTCTGACAGTAAAGGAGAAAGATTTAACTAGAAGAAGCCTTTCCTTCATTGCAGAAGAAGGAAATCAAAATTACTTCATTGTAACAACAGAAAATCCAGATTTCAATGAAGAAATTCTTACAGAGTACACAAATCAAGCATTTAATTTTCTACTCTAAACAATGCTGGAATCAGTCACCAAAAATAACAGTAGGGTAGGGCAAGGGGCATGGCTGTTTTAACAACAACAAAGAAGTAACATAAAGCTTGTTCTTAAAACAGCTCCAGTAAACAAAGGCCAACCAGCCTAGCCCTGAGCTATTTAAAATAATTGTACTTGAGAGGAAAATATTTAAGGCTAAGAAAATGAACATTAACTGCTGATCTTGGAAAAAGCATATTTTTAAGATACCATTTCAGCAGTAGAAAACATCTCCAGTGTCATTCAAACCCAGCAGTATCACATCCACAGCTCTTAATAACACTTCACAGCTGTCTCCCTAAATACCAGAATGTGTCCATCCTTGTGGCACAAACTGGCAAATTTAATTAAGCTGGAGCAGCAACAAGATGCTGACTCAGATATGCCAGTGTAAGAACATCAAGAAATTCTAGCAGTTAAATTGGCTATATTCAGCACCCAATGAAATGGCAGCACATCAAGATCATTTCCCTATGCACTGCTGTCACAGTCTTCATTGGGGTGCAAACCAAAATAATCTGACAGAGCTTTTCTGGCCATATTTACAGCATTATACTCTATTTGAGCTGACAGCTTAAATTTTTCCCCTTCATTTTATCAGCAACCCACTTCCACTGCTTCTGCACCAAGAGAAAATCCACTTTTGTAAATATCTATGAGAAACTCCCCAAAATTAGCAAATTTCCTCCAGCTTTTACTTCCACACTTGCTTCAACAGGTGTAATTTCTCTTCCTCTTGACTCTGGTGACACAACCCAGCTCCATCCATTTCTGATTTTTACCAGGTGCAACCTCTCTGGCTTCTTCTGGCTGTAAAGCCACCCAAACCACACAGCTGGCCTCAATTCCCACTCCTGAGTGTCCACCCCAGAAACTCCTCTAAGGAAGGATCCCACAGCAGTACCAGTAACAAGCTGTGAGGCTGTGCTTGCATCTCACCAATTCCAGGAAGTTGCTCCAATAGGGATGAACCAGAACAGGTTCCCCAGCTAAAGATGGGGGGTGAAGCCATGGCATGTAACAGGCAGCCCCCTCAAATTGTCAGTTCATAAAAACACAGCAATTCCCCTCCTGAACAAACTATTTCCCCACTTCCATGGTTTCCCACCCACATTCCTCCCAGTGAAGGTTCATGCACCAGGCACAGTCACCTCCCTTATCAGCTCAGTAAGTTCTGAAACCAAGAGTCTAAATACAGTCCTCTCCAAATGCTGAGATGCAGCAGCAGGAGCCACACTTCTCACTATGTGAAATCAACGTTATTCTGCTTCCGCTACCTAAGAAAATATGAAAATGACACTGAAAGTGCAAAAACAACACTACTTGTAACACCTATGTTCACACAGCTTCATTTCCCAGAGCAAAGCTCTCAACCTGAACTCCTCCTGCTTTCTGAATGTTCACAATGCACAAAGCACAGGCCAGCAGCAGTACCAACCCCCTGTGTGCCAAACAACATGCAGCTTTCCCCAAAACAGCACGGGCATGTATCCATGGCATGGTAACAAAGAGCACAAAACGATTAAAAAATATACCTGTGTGATAAATGCCAGAGTTCAGAGAGGCTCAGGGATAAGGAATGTTTCTCGTAAAGTTCATGGGAGAAAAATACTTCTTGGCCATTTTTTGGCGGAATATCCCTAATAAAAGAAAATTTAAAAATAAATATATAGCAAAACAACCAAAAATTAAAGGCCACCTCTGCTCCTGAGAAACAAAACCAAGAATTATTTTATATGAAAAAAAGAGAGGCCACCTAAACAAAGGTTCCAGATTTCCTTTTTATGGAAGTTACATTTATACTAATGCCTTATATTTTTGATAGTAAAATATATATTCTGCACAGTACAAAATAACTTCATTAATACAATCAATTCTAGATATGGTGAAATTCTGATGAGAGTTTCACACTTTCACAGGTTCATGAATCAAAAACAAACTCTGGGTTGAAATCGCTGGAACTTTCGAGAAGAATACACTAGTTTTAGCTTTTCAGAAAAGATTTGTTCTTGTCTTCTACGCTGGTATGATATTCTATATTGCCTTTTTATGTTTTCGAATGAAGTCGTTCAAAACAACGGTGTTTATACAATCCCAACCTCCCTAACTACTGTGTAAGATACGAGCAAAGACTTTATTTACGTTTTATCTCACAAACTAAAATTCCAACAAATCTCGCCTCTCTAGGGTTAAAGAGCCGAATTACGTATTTGCAGAGCTTTTCGTTTTAGAAACACCACCAAGGTCCCCGCCCCGAATCCGCCGGGGATTTACGGGGCCTCGCCGCCCCTGAGGGGGGGCCCGGCCGGGCTCAGCCCGCTCCCACCGCGGGAGCGACGGGAAATGGCGCTGCCCCCTCGGGGCGGCGTCCGGCGGGGCGGGAACAGAGCCCGCCCCGCTCCCCCCGGGCCGCAGTGCGTTCCGCTGCCGGCGGGGCAGCGCGGAGCTGTGCCCGTCGCCCACGCCTCAGGCGCGCCCGGCCAGGCCGCTCAAGGAGAGGGAGACACGCTCACCATGTCAGCGGCGGCCCCGCGGCCGCCATCTTGGCTAAGCCTTCAGGGCGGCAACCTCGCGCCTCAGGACACTGGCCAATCAGCGCTCGGCGCATGCGTCAGGTGGTCTGAGTTAGCCAATAGGGAAACGGGCTCGAGCAGCCCCTCAGAGTGAGGCCGCCATTTTGTGGCGGGCGGGGCGAATGGTGGCGCGCAGCCGAATTGTGTTGGGAGATTTGCTCCGTGATCGCAGGCGGAGCCTAGGCAGGAGGTGGATGTCTCGGGCGGCGCATCCCGCCCCTCCCCGGCTCTTTCAGAGGTGGGGCCCTGGCTAGAGAGTGGGTGTCCCGGGTGGCTCCTCCCGCTCCCGGTGTGCCGAGGTGGGAGGGCGGCAGCTTGTCACTGCGCCGTTGGAGGCGCGTGAGGGCTGAAGTGCCCATGGAGGAGGCTGCGCGTTCAGCAGCTTCCCTCCTCTCATGCGTTCAGTTTTCCTGGCTCACTTCTTGTGAGCAGAGCCGCGAAATCTTTTTTAACTGGTGGGCCGGCTTCCCAGTGTGGTAAAATGTGGAATTCGGGTATTCTCACAACCCGTAGGTCTGGGTGATGGAAACTGATTTGCCTGTGGTGGTGATGCCCTAAAGATGGGGAAATGATGAGGGCAGAGTGTGTGCCTGGTGTCCTGTGATTAAAATGGGGCACTATTACATAAATACAGGAAGACCCAGAGATGATTCAGAATTATTTCCAAACCCAACAAACAAGGGAGTCTTCAGCTTGCTTGCAGATCAGTTTTAAGGATAGTGATTTTAATTCTGCCCTCTTGATTTATCTTAGAGAAGCAGAAAGATTTTCTGTCCCACTGGATAGACCCACCCAGAGCTGAGCCGTGGAATTGCCTCCTTGTAAGGAGTGATCTTAGTTCCCAACCCAGGTATGGTAACAGTTCTGTAGCTGAATTATGAGAACGCTTATCTTGGTGAATGTGGCAGCCTAAATCCTACTTCAGGCTGCATCTCTCTAAAACCTACAGCATCTGATTGTTTTGTTGTTTTATCTTTGTACTTCCATGACGCAAACATGAACATCAGGAAATAGGTTTCCACTGTGAGGGTGATGAAACAGTAGCTCAGGTTGCCCAGGGAAGTTTTGGAGTCACCTTGGAAATACTCAAAAGCTAAGCATGGTCATGGGCAGCCAGCTCAAGGAGAGCCTGCCTGGGGCCTCTGCAGTCCCTGTCACCCTCAGCAGTTCTGCGGCCCTGTGAAATAACAGAGGTCAAACCCACCACCTCCTAATGCACTTGAGCTTTCCTCGTGGGAGGCACAGGAGGGAGTTCTCAGTTTGTCTCACTTCAGAAAAACTCCTGTGTTTTAGATAGAACTATACAGTTCTTTAAAAAGCTGTTCCCTAACCACTACATTGGTGGTTAGGAACTGTCCTGTGACTGGGAAGACTGGGCAGGATCATGGCCTGAGGATAAGAAAATGAAGTCTGTGTTTTCAGTGTCCTGACTGCTGTAGACATGGAGCTGCTGTAGAACACATGGCACTGCTTAGTGCTACCGTTCTGGGAGTTATCACTTACACTCCTTTTTTTGTAGACTTATCTGTAGGTGAAGGCTGCTTCCAGATACAGTGCTTCAAAGATGAATGCTAGAATCTATTTCTGGATCATGGTCAGACATATAAATACTGAGCTGTAAAAGCCCTGTCAAGACTGAGGCATTTCTGAGTAGGTGCAGAAGGAGAATTTCACATGCCTGAAGTCTTAAGACCAAGCATGCTGCTGACACATTCAGGTATTCCCAAAGTTAGCACAGCAGAGGGGAGTGGCAACTTTGACTTTTGACGCCTAAATTGTATTAAAACTTCAATTTTGATACCCAAATCCTCATTTGTCTGACCTAAAATCTGACCTAATGCAGTATTTCTGCTGGGAGTGCTCACTGGGAGGGTTTTGTGCCAAATATCTTGTATTTTGCACTTGATGTAGCGACCTGTGATTTCAAACAAGAGACCTTCACACAGAGGGGAGCTACATTAACCCACATTCATTCTGAAAAGGTTTGGAGCTCTCGTTGGCCAAAAGGGGAGCTGAAAAGGTGTTTGGGGGCCATCTTGTTCCCTGCTGCTGACAAAGCATGCTGTGCATGCTAAACCACCTCTAACCTCTGTGTGGTCTAATTCTGTACCAGTGCATTCCTTAAGGCATAAACCTAATAAACTGTAATTCAGGAAACCAAGGAAAATACCACTGACAAAAAAATCAAGACAGGTTTTTCCATTAGAAGCTGAAGTTTTATTACAGGATAAGAGTACATAAAGCACATCTAAAATCGATGTGTTCAATGCACTTAATAAAGGTAATGTAATATTAAAGGTACGGTTTCTAAGTACAATATAACAACATTCATATTAGAATGAAAATTGGAGTATTTAAAAGACAACATTAAATCTCTTATTTTTACAGTCATATTTACAAAATGAATCAAAATACTTTTTCCGGGACCGAGTAAAATAACAAACTTGAATATAAGCAGGCTATCGTAAGAGTGAGTTGGAAAGGTCTATGGAAGGGACAGGTGAAGTGACTGGGCAAAGATCATTAGCAAAGGTTTAGTACAATACCACATCCTCTTGATGGCTTACATTTGATTGTGGCTAGAAAAGGAATTTGTACATACTGTACACATAACAGACAGCACATATTTACATGTACAGTATCATTGCATTAAACTTGTGTGTATTTACAGAAATTTGAGCATATCACTCAACGAGGTTTTTAAGTCTGTGTGCTTCATCTTCAATCTGATGTATATTTGTAATCAGCATTTATTCTGTTGTTGGTATGTTGAACATTTAGTAAAGAGGGAGGATAAATGTTAACCAAATGGTTTTGCATAAATATATCAAACGATTAAAACAACGGGGAGAATGTGTTCCTGGCATTACCTATAGGTTGGTACGTACAAATTTAAGAGTGAGTCCTTCTCTCTTTGAAAATATCAAAAGGTGACTTAAATCAAGAAGGGAAAACAAAATTGTCATGGCTTATATTTAAATAAGATTGTAGCTTCAAGAGGTTTTTATAATTGTCCTGATAGTGTTTGCAGTTAAACATTCCACTTATGAAAATATACCCATGGTGCAGTAAAGTTTGTTTTTGTTTTTAGGTCAACAGTATGTTTGCTGTTTAAAAAAAATTATTTATATATATATATTCCTTGGATTGAGGGTATAAAAGCAGTGCATGGAAGCCAAGAACCATGGCTTTAAAATTCACTACCTTCTATTATCAAAAAGTGCAGTAAACAGAAACATTGTTATTAATAAATTGCTCAAAAATCTTTGCTAAAGATCTTATAAATTCAGTAATATTACAGAAAAATTCTAATAAATATTTAAAAGGTTAATTACCTCCTTAGTTAGATATTTGATATCCATCAGTTTTTAAGAATGAACATGAAAACAATATCTAGAATGAAAGGAGCAGGGGACAGGAATATTTTGAAGGGTACATGACTACGTAAATTAAGGTATACATGGAAAAATAAAAACAAAACCCCCATACCTGACAAAACGTTGCAAATTCCACTTGTTAATTAATTTTAGTTGCTACTGGCTGTCCTTGGATATGTATGCATGGTGTGTAAAGCATATCCAGGGACTGCACTCAGCCATCCCTCAGGGCAGGTTTACAGAACATTCCTATTTACAGTAACGAGTTAAGTGTGTAGGCGTGGCCCAGTAACATCCGCAGGCTGAGCGTACAGATCCTATTGAAAGTGAGCAGGGAGGAAGGCACCCAGCAGAATGACATCTGTACATTTCCAATGCAACAACGGGATAGAACTCTCCAACAAGCCAAATAACTACCTCCCTTTCAGACAGACAGCATATTGGAATTATTTTATACTGGCAGATTAGATGTTTTTCTTATTTTGAATACAATACAGGCAGACTCTTTTAGTAACCAAAAGGATAACAAGCTGGACAGAACAATTTTAATAACATTAATAATTAATAATGTTAATAATGTAGAAAAAAATTCTACATTTGATATCAAGTATCTGTACCGGTGAAGTAATTTTCTCCTTATTAAATATACTATAGAATAATTTATATAATGACACTATGCATTTAAAGAGAAAACCATGTCCCAAATCTTGTACTCTGATACAGGTACTTGTTGGGCATATGTTGGTGTATATATATATATATACACAAATATATATATTTATATATAGTTATACTCAGTGAAATTAACAAGACCCAAAGGTGGTATTGTCTAGGAATAAAAGGGGTTTGTTTGTTTTGTTCACAAAAGTAACTTATCTAGCACCACACATCAGAAAAACACAAAAATAGCACACTCTAGTTCTAAACAGCTATGTCTAAAATAGATTATATAGTAAAACAGATATTATACAGCATAATGTGGTATTTGATAAACAGATAAATATTTGCACTGTGTAGGCTGTTTATAGTATAATTTTATCTATACAGAATGAAAGCAAAAAGTTAACTGTATAGAGGTGAGCAGAACAACATTAAATATTATGACTCCAAAGCAGAGACAAAGTTAGAGTTGAAAGAATAGAGCAAGATAAAATGTTTACAGGCCATTACAAGTCCTTAAATTAGTAGTAAAATAAGGAATCAGTTGCTCAAGTTTAAGAAAGCAGTAAACAAGAGATTTGCATTTACATGCAGATGTCTAAAACTTGTATTTCTTTTAAATCTATGCACAAAAAGTCATTTGTTTTATTGCTTGACATTCAGTTATGGCTAGAATATTTTTAACCTTTTTTTTGTACTTTGGAAACAAGAATATTGTTAAAGGTGCCATAAAAATGGACAACATTGAAAACAGTTTGCAAATAAACCACCTAACACTGCAGTTCTTTATACATTTTAAAAAGCCTTGTCTGGGGTTTGTCATATGTTAAATATATTTAATCTGGGAAAATACATTGTAGCTTGAAGCCTCCCATTGGCCCAAACATCCAATACAAAAACACATCTCCAGAAAAGGAGCAGGCAGACAATACAGTTACATATAAAGAAGCAGCCAGTTAATGTCCTAATACTTCAAATAGTGACCACTGTTCTGTAACTTGCTTCTAAATCAATGTAGAAATGAGGAACATTTTGGATTTAAAAAGGTCTACAGTACGTATGCCTTCTTGTGAAATAAAATTCACTGTATTGCTTATGAATTCTCTGCATTAGATATAGATAGCGTTACAGATTGCAAGCTCCTGTAAGGTCTGTGCATCTACACTGAGACTCTGAGGGGTAATTCAGGGTAGTGTTTCTCAAACCGAAAGCCACAAGTGCTCGTTCGAATGGTGCCCAAGTGCCGGCTCTCGGGCAGAGCCCTCCGGGCACAGCCAGCCGGGTTCCGCTGAGGCGCAGCCTCCCCAGCACAGAGCGCTGCGCACGGAGCTCGGCCCGGGCCCGAGGAGCTGCAGGAGCCGCTGGGGGCTGCGCTTGGCAGTGCCCACCGTCCCCAAGTACCCGCAGCAGCTCGAGCCCTTCCCTTGGGAAACGCTGCCAACATTCCAGCTGATCCACACTCCCTGCCCCAGGAAACTCAGTCAATTCCAACACAGAGAGCCTGTGCACAGACACAGCTCACAGAGATTGTGCTTTCAGAAACCTTGAGAAACACTAACGTAGGAACAGAGTACACACAGGACATGTGAACACTGAAAACATGCAGGTGTTAACAAAGTGGGATGTCACACGCCAAGCTGAACAACCTGATTGTGAAGTTCAGCTTGAAGAAGTAATAAGATTATGAGGGAAGACATACAAGTGAATATTGTGGCAGAAGAAGTGAGCCTATGAGTATTGATCTGAAGCCTTTATCATGTTTTGTTTCTTATTTGGATAGCCTACTTATTGCTATAAAGTTATTGCTATATTCTACCAGTGATAAAGGCAAAAAAAAAAAAGGACAAACAGCAACATTATAGATGGAAAAGGTAGAATACAGCTTCTGTTTAGATGTTAAAATTCTATTTAGTACCTGAATAAAGTTCCAGAGAAAGACTGTATATTATGTTACGTATTTTTCTCCTCAAGTCCAGTGACTTAGCATTATGTAGCAAGCCATTATCACAGTACTAGAATTAAAGCACATACTGCAAGGATTTTTAAATAAATACTCATTTACATTTTAAAACTTTTCTTTTTGTTGTTGTATTTGGTATTTGTATGCATTTGCCCTCATTTCCACCAAATGATTAACTGACAGAAATACTTAAACAAAAAGAAAGAGGCTAATATTCAAATATATTAATGGATGTAACTTTAAAACTGATATATATTAGTATTAATAATTAAAAAATAGTTCTAATAGTTATGTTTCTCCAGCTAGGGAAAATAAAGATGTTCTGTGCAATCTGAATCAGCTAGCACAGGTAGAATTCCATACTCAAGAGAAAATTGCCTATTATTTTTGGATATTGTTTCTGTTTCTGGCGCTTATATTAATAGGTTTGTCTGTATTGAGGAGTTTAGGAATGTCTAGGGAAAAAAATCCATGTCATTTGCACAGCTCACACTGTGTAAGTTGTTTTGTTCATCCAGTACAGACTGGGGATTGTCTATGCCAATCCAAAACAAGACACTGTAATGCTTGGGTAATGGCACTACTCAGTTAAAGCATCTTAGAGCTTGTCCATTCTAAGTGTTCCATTGGTGTGCAGGTACACAAATAATAGGGTCCTGCCAGTCAGCAGCAGGAATTCTCATCTCAGCTGAAGATGCTGGAACACCGACTGACCACACTTGCTAAGTGCCTGCCTGCCTTGGAAAGCCATTCCCAGCTAGACTCAGCTGTCAGCCGGGGAAACCGTAAGGATGCTCTCCCTATTCATTAAGCAATCTCAAGTAACCAACTAGTAGCTGTATACCCGTGAAAAAACCCTCAAAAATGCCAGAAAACTGGGGCTTTCTCCAAACAGACACATTGGATGGAGGAGTCAAATTCACTCTTTCCAATGTAACCAAGGTGCTGAAGTCTTGCTCATTTTGTTCCTAGTTGTTTACTTGCTTTTCTACTTGCATTTTCAAAAGAATGTGAAGCCATAGAACAAAGCTAACTGGGACAGGCTTCAAGCATCCTAGTTTGGCACTGGAGACTTCTGAACATTGTTGGGTTTTGGTGCCATTGTAAAATCACTGGAATTGCTGTATTTGATGTACTAAATATGAAAATTTCTTCAGCCGCAGTGTTTCTTTCCAGCCAGGTTTTGGCTTTACCATGAAACATCTGCAGCAATGACAGACAACATTTGAAGTGTTGTTCTTGTACTCCTGCAGATCTGTGTTCCTTTCTATGTGACTTCACTGATGAAACTTAACCATGACCTTTTCATTCTTACTGCATTCTCACAAATGGATTCATTTGCTTTGATAACAATTTAAATACTAAAAAGCTGCTTTCTATTGCAGAACACTGAATTTCAGTTGGAAAAGTCGTCCTATCATTATAAAAATGTTTAGAGAGTATTGAAATTAATTTCAATCATATATTTAGTGGGTCAGCATTTATTTTCTAAAATATAATTGTAAAATCTTTGCATTATTTGGGGTATTCTGTTTTGAGCACAATACCAACCAAAAAGCAGCTCTACCGCAGGAGTGAGCAAGAGAATGAGGCACACATAGAGCATTTAGTTAAAAAAAAATCCAGTTCTCTTGTGCCTGGGGGCAGGGGGAAGGGAAGAAATATTAGCATATTTTTGAAAAAGTAATTTGTTCCACCAGCAGTACTGGCCACCCTGTTGAAGAGTTTTAGAAGATCCCTGAGCACATTAGTTTCTGACTTCTAACCCCAGCTCCAAAATGATAGGGCTTCTCTTGTTGATAACGAGATGGATTGTCATTCACAGTTAAGTCAATCATAAGGTGCTTAATCTATTTACCCTTTTTTTCACCAATCAGCACAAAGAACTGTCAGAAAATAACTTTTATTTTTCTTTTTTAAATAATAAAAGGGCACAAAATTTAAACAATCGATGTTTTGTGACAGTGGTTTAGGATTATTATCTGGCTGCCCCTCAACAACAGACAAGTGATTCAATCGACATTCCTTAGCAAAAAAAAGGAAAAAAAAGAAAAAAAGGAAAGAAAAGAAAAAAGGCAAAAAAAAAGAAAAATCCTGTACAAATATGTATTTTTCCCTGAGGGATCAAGGTTACACCCGCAAGTGCTCTATGTACATATTGCACTGTAGAGGAATGAAGAACATGTGCAAAAAAAGCAACAATGATTGAAGCTTACTAATCAAACCTTTTAATCATGACTGCTATGTCATCTTGCATTTTGGAATGTCGGAACACAGCTATTCCTTTAATCTAAAATGTAAAAATAAAAAACAAGAAAGAAAAAGAAAAACGCACCTCTACTATGGCACATTCAATGAAATAAAAAGTTTTCCAAAGACAAATAGACAAATTCCATCAAGAAAATAATACAAAGTTCGTTCGTTTGTGGTTTTTTTTGTTTTTTAGAAAAATTACATTACTTTCTTTCATTGTTTCACATTACAAAATCTTTTTTTTTTAATGTTTACACAAATCACATTTTATTGCAGGAATATTTCAAGTGCCATCAAACATTTATAGAAGGGTTAAAAAAATAGAAGTCTCTCTAAAGTGGTCCAGACAAGGCTTTGTATAGAATAAATCTTTTTACCACCTTCTATTTTTGACTTAAGTATTTTGAATACATTTTCTTTATTCCATTGACACTTAACAGCCTAGAAGCAGCCGCTCACACGTCCCACACATACACTCATGTGCGCACACAATGGACTCTCTCACACACACAGGTGCACATAGACAGATATCTTGGTATTCATACTAAGATAAGCTAATAAAGAGCAACCAAACTTAAAACCAGCCTCCCTTTTTACCTAATTCCATACGTCAAACAATGCTGGAGGTGATGACATGTATTAGGGTGGTTCATGTGACAGTACAGTCCAGTAGCTCTTCCTAGAAAGCCAGAAAGCATCTCCAGGGACACATGTAACTCCCAAGGAAAGTATCTTTGCAGGCTCTAAGGACTAGGTCATCTAAACTTCAAATATTATGTTTAGTTATCCTAGTGTTTTTATTTGTAGTGAACTGGGCAGATGATGAAAATACTCATGTGAATATCCACTGAGCTCCAGTTTTTAACTGGTGGATCATCTGATAGCAGGCCACAGTCCCAGGGGTTTTGCAGAGGGCGTTTCCCCTGCTGTGCTCTTACATGGCCATCTCCAAGCAGCCACTCTGGTGTTATTCTGAGTCTCCCTGCATAAAAACCCCCTTGGCAACAGGTGTCTGCTCAATGTCTGCTGTTTTTATCCCTCCTCACGAAGGGCAACCCAAAAATTCCACTCTATTGCCAAGTGGCTGTTAACTGTGACCAGGAACGCAGAGTTACTTGGGGTGTGAATGCTCAGCTTGATTTCACAAGGTCCCAGTACACATGAGCTCCCACAAACAAAAACAACAGTGCTTTCTGGCCTGGAAGATCAGTCTCAGCTAAGGCCCTATTGGAAACCTTTTTATTGTTATGTATTTTATTACTAAATGCTCCAAGACTTATATTGTCAATGATTTGTAAATGTAAATATGCTAAACAGAATCCAAACAAAACCACTGGTGCCTAGATACCTGGCAAAGCACTAATATTCATCATGAAAAGGTAAGAACAGGATGTGACTGAAAACTAATCCCCAATATTTTGCCTGGTAGTCTACATTGTCAGAAGTAGGAGGTGTATCTCACTCTCTAAAAAAGTAAGGTCTTACTTCACTATTCATTAGTTGACACTGAGATTAAGTTTAGTTGATCTTTACAGGACTAGCACCTAAGGCTGGTCACATTCAGAAAACATTTGTTAGTTTAAAGAGGTGCTTCAAAAATAGGAATACACATTAGAATGCAAGTACCATATCATGTCAGTTACTCCAATAAAGTAAACAATGATCCAAGGAAGTGTTTCAGTGGGAGTGCAGTGAGCACGTGCTGGGCTGTGAGCCACTTGCTGAGGAGCAGGCAGGCCGGAGCAGGAAACAGGCAGCTCTATGGGGCTTTTCCAAAAGGCCTCTCCTGCCTGCAGCCAGCGCTCACAGCACTGCAGGGCTCCCCTCCCACCTGCAGGGCGCTGCTCTGAGGAGCAGCTCCGGTGCTGTGCTCTCGCCCTCCCTGCAAAACCCAGAGATGAGTGAGAGCTGTAACCTTCCCGCATCTGCTACACTGGAACGTGTTTCATAAGGGTCACAGATGAATGTTTCTATTTGAGCCCAAAGGAAACACGTTCAAATCACAGAATAAACCTGTATTTTGCTAATAGGAACCCGCTGATCTGACTCTCCTTCTTAAAATACTCAGGTTTCGGTGGGCTTCTATTCACTTGTTACTTCTCAACAACTGTAACTTATGTAAGAGATTGTTTACCCTTGGAAGTTAAAGCAGTAGGGCACATTCTGTCTCATTCCTTTTTGTTTTTTGATGTTCCCAGCTTTTTCTTAGGTACTTCATCCAAACTACATTTGTGATGGCTTACAGGGCATCCAGTTTGCATCTGCATCTCATCCAAACCCAAATCTACACCTCTGGCCCAAACACCCACAGTTTGTAATGTTGTTTATGTGAACCTGCTTCCTTCAGAACTTTGCTCAGACACAGAATTCTTCCTGAAGGGAATGGTAATTAATAACACTGCAAGATTCAGCTTATTGGTTGGTTATGTGATACAGGAATCAGAATTACAGAATGCAGGTTTCTGATATTTATGATTTCCAGGCTTCTACTGAGTACAAACTAATGCTTTCTAGCAACAGCATGCCTTTCCTTTCTTAGTTTGTTCCCATCTGATCAACTTTAAAGTGCATCTTTTTAAACAAAGAGAGAACAGACTTCTCTGCTCAGCTCCCTGAAACTGAACTGCTGGATGCTGGAACAACAGGGGTCAGTGTGTCTCATCTCACTGAAGCCAAAGACAAACCTATGGATTTGGACAGGCTACAGCTTGGCATTGGAAGGCATTGTTTACAATATGGAGTACAAAAGTATGTAATATTACATGTAAAAAGTACTTTTCTGCAAGCATGTCATATACACATACTTTTACTGTAGATACAGACTTGAATAAATACTTTCAAACCTGGATTTATGGTGGGCAGGAATACACTATTTAATAGCCTGATTTTCAAAGATGCTGTGTTACTCATTTGTAAATGATCTGTAATTAATTAGTTCAACTCTGACAGTGGAAACTCAGAACCTGTGAAAATGAGGCTTTTGACTTTGAAACATTCCGGTTTGAAAGACTTGAAAATAAAAGTACCTTTGAATTTAACTTCTGAAAAGATTATTTTAATGTAGAAAATTGTCGTTATTTTCAACTCTTTAAAAAAACCTCTAACCATTTCAGGATATGACCAGCCTCTCTTTAAAAGTAACATGGAAAACAGCAGCATAAATACCTCCCACTGTACCAGTACCTGCCAAACCTTTTTCAGTTAAACTTGAATTTCTGGTGCACATGCAACACAACAATGAACACGCTAGCATTTAATTTAAAGAAAAAGGTGCAAAATGAAAGTGCCTTATCAATTCAACAAGAAAAGCTATACCAGTAACTACATTTTATATTAATTAAAACAATATATAAACAATATCTCTTTTGCTATATATAGTCTTCATGCCCATTTACCCTGTAATATATTATAATGCTATTGTTGCTATTGCTATGGACCCTTTTCATGCCGTTCTGTCTACTGGCAAACAGTGGTAGGTGAAAAAAAATCGTCCTTCATGAAACAATGAGCAAGTTGTGCAAACTGATGCTGAAATCTCTGCAATGCACACCAGTCGCTGATTACTAGGTGGACTCTGTTCTGACCAACAAATTGATTGTTCTGTCAAAAGCCTGGGCAGTGAACTACAGGAGAAAACAACCTTCTGACATTAGTACCCTCAGTCTGTGTAAACAGAGGTCAAGGATTGAGAAGTTGAGACAGAAAAAGGGTCCATATTTGTAGGCATAATGGAAATCATATGCATGAGAAAAACAAGTTCAACTTTGTTTCATTGTTTCCCATCCTTCGCCTGACCCCGACCGCCAAGAGATGTGCAGTGTGTTGGCTCCCTAGGTCTGTGCAGGGCCATATAAAGTGTCTTGGTTTTCTTTCTTTTTTTTTTCCCTTTTTTTTCCTTTCTTTTGTTTTAATGTTTGTACTTCAGACATTCTAGAAGTGCTTAGGTGATACGTTTACCCATCAATTTGCATTGCTGGCTCAAACTCTGAAGTGAACAACTCCTTGTAAAGTGGAGGAAAATGAAGTCGCACAATGTCTGGGTATATTGCTTTAAATGCCATAAGCTTTTCTGTATGTCGTCCACACAGTGCTCTTAAAGTAGACACTTTGCATATTAACTGTAAAAAAATGAACACAAGTCATATGGTCATACATGGAACCAGGCCTCCCAAGCTTGCTGTAAGGATTAAAGCTCTCCCAAACCAAATTATTAACTTAACAAGGACATTTCAGATGCACAGTCATGGATATCTGCTAGAAGTATTTAAGTAATGGACTCATAGCTATTTTTGAAATAATCTTTTTTAAGTTCTCAGGAAAATGTGGCATTAGGTTTCCTTGCTGGATTGAAAAACAAGTATTTCAGGGCTGGATCTTCACTCATTAAATTATCCTCTTGGAAGAAGGTAATCCCAACTGCTTTTAAATCCACTGTGAATATTGTGGAGGGAACTGGCAATGCAATAGATTAGATTTATTTACCTTAATTGAAATAAGGTAAAAAAAATATGCTTCTAAAATATCATGAGGGTGCTCCCTGAAGTTACTGAGAAAATATTCGTATCAAAGCATGTGGAAGACTCTTTCTTCTGACAAAGGTATCCAGAGCATACACTGAGAGAAAATTACATGAGCTAGGATTTGAAATGAAGAAAATCTGCAGAGCCTGTGCTGGACCATCCTGCTTCTACTGTCAGTAATTCTTTGGTGTGAAACGAAGCATAAGCTCTGGCTGCACAGAGGTGTAAAAGGAACTACCTCTGCAAGGTAAAGTGCCTGTATTTCCCCAGTTCTTCAGAGTTACTTCTTGTAACATCACACTAGTTTCTCATTTCTGAGAAATTACATGAAGATACTTCAGTAGGTAGTGCCTCTTTTCCCTAGGCATCACTTTTGGAAGAACTGAGAAAAAGGCTGTGTGGGGAACTTCTCACGGAAGTTGGAAAAGCAAGTTTAGTTTGTGCATTGCATGTTGTAACAACTTAACTGTCATGCAGCAGAGATTCCACAAATACCAAGGCATGCATGTTGTGGCACTGAAATAGTATTCTGTGTGGCAGGAGTGTTGTGTAGGAGAGCTATCATAAAAACCTTCATCACTTTTCATGAAGTTCCACATAAAAGTACTCCCTTTCAGACCATTATCAACCTTGTTCCCTAGAACATCATCATTTCACCTCTTCTAGGTTTAAGTAACAAGGTGCAACTGAGCAGCTCCATTTTGAACAAAGCATTCCGGGTTTATAAATAAATTAACTGCAAATGAGCTTTACCCCATAATCAGGGCAGTGTTCAGGTGAAGGCACTCTTCCACAGTCCTGTGCCATGGCACAGGATCACCCTTACCTTTGTCAGAATTCCATCTTCTCGGTGGTTCTTCTGTAGGACGTGCTGAAGTGCTAGCTGGATCTTCTGTTGGAGTTTCTCAATTTTTACTTTCTCCTGAAGCCATGAGCGATCTGAATATAAATGGAGTTAAAACCTCTAGTAATGCACACATGGATCACAGTGCACCACAAGCACTAACTCTGTTACAGATTCCTTTTTCCTATTTGCAACCTTCCTTCCAATTGTCATATACTTTCATATAGAAAATGGGCTTCAAAATTAACAGGTTTTGAAATATATTTATTACATGCACTTAAAGCTACTTTTATAAAGCCCTTATTTAGGATAATGCAACGCATCTGAGTAAGATCTATTATTCATTTGCAAGAAAATTTGTAAAATGCAGGGTGTTTACAAAATGAGGCTAGCAACTTTTTACTGGGAAATTAATAGATCATATAATGAACAACTACTTGGAGAGGATCATCTTGCTAAGATCTTACAGAACTTAGAAAAAGCCAGCAGAACTTACAGAACTTACAGAAAAATCAGATGCAAAGATTCAACTATTAAAAATAAAACAACAGCTGAACTTCCTGGCAGAAAAGCAGTATTAGCTGTGACAGAACTGTGGGTTCTGTAGGTTGCTAAGACACAGGGCTAACACACTTCCTGTCTGGCCAACAACAGGAGAACATATTTATGGCAGACTCAATAAAGCCACCACTGCCAACAGAATGAGACCACTGTGGTGCAGTCTGAACTCAGTTTCCTTCCTCAGGTGTCAGGCCAGCACAAATTGACTTTCTGCCCCAGCACCTTGCTCCACCTGACCTAAGAAGCCTTTCCAGGACCTGGAGCACACTGTGCACATTCACCTGGGATTATGAAGTTATTTTAGCCACAGGCATGGCAGACCCAGGCTGACTTTTGGGGTGACTTGGATGTCCTGCACCATAATTCTCAGTGTCCCCAGTCACACTAAAATGGCACTGCTGGAAATTCTCTGTTGTGCTGCAGCTGCAAGCTCACACACATGGACAGCTGCCCATGGGAGTTCAGTAACTGCCTCTCACCAGGACTGGCTCGTGAGTCTCACTCAAATGCATTTAAGCCTTTGCAAAGAAGCTGAGTCCTCAACAAGGTGAAAATGTGGAAAATATGGGCTTAGATTAGGATTTCCAATTTAACAAAGTGGTTCCTAAATTCACAGTTTTAATGTGATTAGTAAAATAAAAAATTTGGTGAGGAGAAAACACTCAAAAAGTGTCCACAATGATATTTCCACGACGTCTGATAATTGCAACATTATCGTTAAAAAGTCCTGAAAATAAAAACAACCCCTACCAAATAAATCTAGAGGAAATCTTCATTTCTTACCTGCTGACATTAAAACAAACGCAGAAAACAAAGCTATCTCATCTTCTGTCAGGTGCATAGAACATAAACTTTTTCCAAATTCAAACACAAAGCTAATGAAGTCTTCACAACCTGCAAGAAAAAGTTAAGCTCTTGTTACATTGTTTAAAACTACTTCAGTGCTACAGAGTTATTGATTTATTCTGATGGAGATGAGAAATAGATGTAAAACACTTCAAAGGTGGTCTTCTCCTTAAGGACTGTGAAGTGATGGCAGTGAGATCTCACTCATCCTTGAGGGTATTACTCCACTCCCACAAGTTCCCAGCTCCCACATCCTGGCACCCAAGACTGACAAAGTTTTGCACACTGTATCTTTTCTACACTGGGTTCTCATGGGGTGAATATGAATAAATCTCAAGCCATTTACTTTCAAGCTCAAAATTGTTCTACCTTGGTTTCTGTTCTAAATGGAACCTTGTTGTGTCAGTGTGGACTGAAGAAGTTGTGACTTTAAGATTATTGAGCACACAGAGTGGGGGAAGAGAGGCACACAGGGACATGCAGGAAGCAAAGGGAGAAGCCAAGGTCTGACTGAACACGGTTCATGCAGAACAGGAACTCTGTCTCCTTCCGTCCACTCTCTGCTCACACAGGTTATTCAGGTTACTGCTGCTGTCACACATGCAGGTACAGACTGCAGAGTGAGCCCTGCTCTCAGGAGCATCACAACCTGAGACACAAAGGTTTTCCTCAGCCTCCCCAGCCTAAACTTCTGCACACAGCTGGTAACAATCCAAGTTCTATTTCCTCAGAACCCAGAAGTGTTTGTGCTCTGACCTTGTACTTGAGGTGTTTTAGAAAGGCAGAGAATACTTCAATAATTGTCCAGCATTCTCCACTGATGTATTTTCACTGCCTACAAAGTAGCTTACAGCCCAAATCTATACCCAGCGAATAGATCCTTTTAAAATTAGCAAAAATATGTGGGAAAAAAATTTCAAAATTGTATGTAGTTTAATTTTAAAAAATGATTTACAGTGTTTTACCAGCAAATAACTGCACTTGGCAAAATTTAAAACACCATTAACATCTTCAAAGCAATCATGTCAGTATGTCCCAAATTAGCTTAAAATCTGCTGCCTTTTCCAACAGGATACATGAAACATTACATTACATGTGAAATCTGGGCTTCTCCTCTCAACAAGTGAGTCCAAACAACTGTACCCTAATCAAAGTGCTGGACTTCAGCACCAACAGTCCTTTACTGCACAGCCTTAAGCTGTTTTACCTCCTGAAATCAGCTTGGCCTCAAACAGAGCCAGAACACAGCAGTCTGAGCTCCAGAACTCTTTTATTTGAATACTATAGACTGATTTTTCAAAGCAGCTGTTTTCCCTTGCCTTTCCACCATATTATTTTTATTCTGGTTTTTTGGGGTTTTGGGTTTTTTTTTGTTTTCTTTTTAAAGACACAACAATTCACATTTCCTTACCTAAGGACTTGAAAACCTCTGGGCTAGCATACTTGCCATCAAAGTAGACTGTGTTGTTCTGGGAGTCAAAGGCACGGCACATTCTGATGAACACAACCTCTAAAGACCCTATAACAGAAACAAGGCATGTTTGACTAAGGAAGGAGAGCCTGCAGTTGCAAAGAGCAAGTGAGAATTTAATAACAATGCTCTGCATTCATTGTCAGTTTAGTAGTGTAGTAAGTTGCTGTGGTGTAACAAAGCATAGTTTGGTTTGCTGGTAGAATTACAAGAATTCCCATAAACCCCTTTAGAAGTTTTTGCTAAAGCAACTTAGTTAATGGTAATGAACTTGAGTCATTTTTTGAGTAATGAAATCTCTGAAGCCAAAGCAGCTCATTTATATATGTGTTCACCAAGCCTTAACAACTTGGTCCAGTATCTGTAACCTGAATTACTCCTACAATATCTTGCATAGAACAATTTGGATTTTTACCTTGAAATATTCACTATCAGCAATCAAAAAAAAAATTAAATCCAATTTTTACATCTTAACACACTCATTGCTCCCTTTATCCATAACGAAAATTTATTAGATAGACTTGAACTCCTTCTCCCCACAATAACTAAGACGATGTTACTTCAAAGACAGAAATTTTGCAAGGTTTTCCATTATTTAATTTTAAAAGACCATTGTACTGCATATGAATATATGTGTATGCAACCACTGTAACATATAACACCTTCCTCAGGCAAAACTAATAGAAGCAGACCTTAAAGCTGACCCACATACCTGCTTTTAAAAGCACAATTTGATCATTTTGACACAGTTCCATAAAGCCATCAATGCGTTTGGCAAATTCCACTACATACTGTATAGCTTCTGTTATTTTGACTGCGCATAACTGCCACATTACCTCCCTTTGCTGTTTGGGAGAGAAGAGAAATGAAAAAATTACTAACCAAAGCTCACTGTCAGAAAGTAAACTGAGCTAAAGAAAACCAAACAACAACATGGAGTGAGCTCCCTCCAACACTGCTGGCTGCAGTCTGACCTCAAAAGCAGAGCTGCATGTGGGTGAGTGACAATGCAACCATCGAACACTTCTTCACTCCTGTCACAACAGATCCAGCTCGGAGTACTTTTATCATAAGCCAAAAATGTCAAAGTGTAATGAGTTTGGTCATTTCAGTGGGAATTTTATTCACTGCATGAAAATAAAATGCCAATTTACACCAACAAGGCATGATCATATTTTTCCTATCAGCTTCTGTATTTTGTACAGAATGCAAATTATCAACCTAGCTCATCTTCACAAGAATACATATAAATGTGTCCATATATGAAGATCATCTTGATAAAAACATAAGGAAAGCATGCAAGTAGTGAGTTTTTCCAGTGTTGAAAATAATGCAGAATGAAATCACCTAAAGTAGAAAAAATTGTACTCTGAAAGGTTAAATATTTTTCTGTGGAAATGAAAAATATGTTCAAAGAACAGCGTGCTTCAGCAGTGCTTCCCAAGGCCATTTTCCAAAAGCAGCCAATTGGCAGCAGCTTGTGGAGAGAAGGCACGTTGGGAATAACACTGATCAGCCCTTACAGTGCCCTGGTGGCACGGCAGCACTGCTGCTGCTGCTCCACAGGTAAAGCCAAACACTGAGGGACAACTGGAGCATGAATCAGGATTGCAGTGAACCCCCAAGGCTGGAAATCTGATGGAGCTCTGTGTTTATAAACTCCAGCTACAGCACAGCACGTAACATCACACACTTGGTGGCTTCGCCTTTTGTTGTTGTTGATCCAGGACATTACAATTTAAGAGGAGAAAATAACATGCCACTTAGGATTGAAAAAATTCCTATTATTTCCTATCCTTTACCAGAGACAGATTTTAGGAGAATGTCTTTGCCTTTTCCTATACCTCTAAAAATCACAAGCAAAAAATATCCTGACCATACTGCTGCTTTTGATTCTAGTGTATTATTTTTTTAAACACACAGAAATACACATTCCTGATAGTAAGGAGAAAGCAGTGAAAAAGTGAATTTTGCAGTGTGTTATGGAAATACCATGCTTTAAAGAAACCATGCCGTATCTTGGCATGCTTTTATACCTTGTTCTGATAGTTCTCAATTTCTTCCTGCAGAAAAGTTTGCCATGTTATCTGCTGTAACTCCTCTCTCAAGTACTGGCAAGTTTCCATGTGTGACTTGGAAATATTCTGTGCAAGATGTTCTAAAAGAAAGAGCAGAAAGCGACACGCGTTAGAAATGCAAAGCTGTACCTTCAGACACGAGAAAAGCTCGTACATTTCAGCTGCAACAGGGGGAGGGGAGAGGGTGAGCTGAGAGAGAAAATCGCTTTGCTTTGACTTTCCTTGGAACCGGCGTCGGGAGGCGC